AAAAGGTCTTAATGTATGTAGGCGCCATAATTTTAACAATTTCTAATGGCATTTTGTTTTTAACAACATGTCGATGTATAAAATAGTTATGTTTAGAAAGATTGAAAAAGATAATATAAAAAAAACCATCAAAACACCGGTATTTCTTGAAAATCCCTCAATTATCAATTTCCACCAAACATGGTACATATGTATTATCCTAAGTATAAAAAAGAAACATGTTTATAATTTTGAAGTCGAGCTAAAATTTCGTCCACTCACATATAACGGTAAATTTCAGAACTACGAAAACTACAATATTTCATTAACTAAAGACGTTATGACTACATAGGCGTATCTCGGTAACCGCTTTATCGATTTCTACAAAACGTGGTTCAGTTATTTTATTAATCATCTGAGCATTTTATTGAAAATATTTGAAAATTGCTTAACATGCAAAGGTAGTTTACAAAAAGATCTAGAAACGATATATAATATCGACTGTTTGAGCCAATTGGCGGTCGTTTTGCTCCTAACGGTTCAGCGTGACACTGAACCCACAGTCCTTGTATCAAGCAAGGTATCGATACCTACTCAGTATCGAAAAGGTATCGAGTACTTGTACTTAGAATTACGATTTTGCATATTTTTCAAAGTTATTGTATTTTTTTTTTACAAAAAATATGTGTTTTTACAAGATTATTTATCTTTTAATATGTCTTCATACAAAAATTTAAGGCAACAATTATTTTTGTATAGTATTTGATTTCAAAATCAATAGAATTGAATAGAAAATAGAATCAAAAACAATAGAATACATTTTGCAAGATAAATAAGATAGATAAAGTTTTTTCATATAAAATGAGTTTAAAAAAGAACTCCTTTCTGTTATATTTCCGAAAAACATCAACTTTTCCAAGTGTTTTCATAAAAGGCGGTTTCGAGATTTTGATACAGTCGTATCTGTTTTTGAGAAAAGTCTCTCGCAAGAGACAGATGTCCCAGCAACCATTATGTATAGACGGGCTTGCTTATATAGCAGCGGAAATCTTCCCATTCCTCTAATGGGTTGCTTTTCGAAGTAGATGCTGAAGCATAATAAGTTTTGCGCTTCCGATACAAGTCCTTTTTTTCGATACTTACTTGGATCGCAGTAAAAAGTATCGAGTACAAAAATACTTGGTAAATTGAGAAAAGTATCGAGTATGTACTCAGATTTACTTGTATCGATTCATCCCTACGTTTTATTAAAGGAAATAAATTTTTGTATTAAAGAGTTTTAAGAAATTAAAACTGGCAAATGATTTTGTGTATATGACCATCGGAAGATAGCTAGAATGAAATCCTAGGTAACTTTCTCGTTTGGGAATTGCTACAAGGGAACTAAGTTAGGCGAAATTGCAATGAGCAGAGTGATAATAAATATTGGAAATTAATGGCATGAGTTGCTTACGAAAAAAAATTAAATAAATAAATATATTGGACATTTATTATCGCCTTAAAACCGTAATCATTTAGTTTTGAAATTAATTTTTTGAATGAAAACAAGTTTTCGCAGCATCTTCGCATTGACTTAGAACACCGAAGCGAAGCAGAAAAGGTAATCTTCTCAATCGGCGCAAACTTCCCGCAAGCTACATGCAATTAATCAAACTACAAATATGTATGTATGTATGCACATTAGGGTTGTTCTTATAAAATCAAAAGAACGATTTTTTTCAGTATTGCCCCCTCAATCGGTAATACCACGGTCACAGGTATCACATATAAATATTGGTCCCGATTGGAGATGGTTAAGGCGTGTCGCACAGGGGGAAAAGTACAGATTCCTCTATAGAGACTAAAAACATTAAAATTAATGTTTTTGAAGTCTAATACTTAAAATCGATACTACCACAGTCGAAGATATCACATATAAATTTTGGTCACGATTGGAGTCTGAACTTTGACCCCCGTGCGACACGCCTTAACCTACTTTAATCGGGACCAAAATTTATATGTCATATCTTCGCCTATAGTAGTATCGATTTTGGGTATTAGACAAAAACAAGTTAATTTAAATTTTTTTTTAGTCTCTATAGAGGAATCCGAAATTTGCCCCTTGTGCGACACGTCTTAACCGTCTCTAATGGGGAGCAAAATTTATATGTGTTCAGTAGTAGCATCGACGTCGGGGTTGAGGCGTAGGAAAGCTGATGGAAAAATTTGCTTTCTATATTTAAGAATCACCCTAATGTACATACATACACATATGCACTGCTTGGAAGCTTCCCAGCAAAAAAACACGATTACCACAGAAATTCAAATGGAATCAATTAGGCGATGGGAATCGCTTACCTTTTCGCTTCAAGAAGGCATTATTTTAACATGGACATGTCATGGACCGTAAGCCCTTACCCACAGCATTACCTTCAACGAAGGGAGAACGCATGGATAAACAGAATCAAGAGAAGCGACAAAGAATACTTTACCGAGAAACTAATGCAGAATGCCTAGAAAAATACATACTTAAATGTATATTAAATTAAAAATAGAAAATACTGATTGTCTTAGAAGATTAAAATTAATTAAAATTTTTATAAATCAGTTTTTATAGTTACATACGTATGTACGTACATATGTATTTAGGAATTTGGATCTTACTTAAAAATCGGTATGTACATAGATACATACATATGTGTTTAAATAATTAAACATAAAATTGTACTTCCTCACTCATGTACATCACATCATTGACTGACTTCAACTTAGGGATGTCAAAAAAACCTTCAAACATCGATGTTTGTCGATGTTTTTACGAGTCCGATGTAAAGTCAAAACATCGATGTTTTTTAATCATTTCATTTTGTACGCGCTTTAAAATTTTGAGCGGACGTTTGTTCCTTTAATAAATTCGTAAATTCCATTTAATAATTGTTCATATGTGAATAAGTGACAAATAGTTTATTTCGTATCGACTCGCCGACGAGCTGGCCATCGGCTGGTGGGCGGACCGAAAAAACAACTCGTATGTAGTACTAACTAAAATTTTTAAAACATTTACATTAAAACTACACCTCGTTTCTAAATAAAAACCCACCACAAGTTTTAACAATAAATTTTTTTCGTATATAATTTTAGATCGTTTTTTATAAAAATTTAGTTCACTCTTTAACAAAAACAATATAAATCCAATTTAAAATTGTGTGCAATATTAAACATCGATTCTTCAAACATCGATAGTCTCATTGTGATTTACAACCCTACTTTAACTTCGCTGTAAATTAAACAAAGCAAAACATGATTTTTATGTAATGGGAAATTTCCACAGAAAGTAACGGTAGAAAAAAATGTTTGGGTATTCATTCTATTTTTCAGCTTTCTACAGTGAAGCATTCTACTTTGCATTCCCCGTAATGAATCAAAGCAGCGCAATTGACAAAATATTGTAGAACATTCCACTTTGCATTACCGCCAATGCCTAAAAGAAGCGAAAAATTATATGACATTATAAGACTAAAAGCGATTACCGTTTTTTTGCTGGGTTCTCAACGGTGCTTTCCAAATCTGATGCCTCTTTCTGCTGGTTGCAGAAAACATAGATTAAGCGTACATACCTAAATATATACATACCCTGAAGAAAAAAATAACCAACTTGTAGTTAGCTTTTATGCGGGATTTCGATTAATAGTTCAATTTTAATTAGCTATGACGTAGTGCAGACGTAATCGGGAGTTTGTTTTCTATGAAACAAGTTTATAATTAAATATCTTCATATGCAAAAACTGCTTTAAGTACATACATATGTACATATGTTCACTCTTTCTTCAAAAATACTTTTTTGAATGTGGGGCAACTAAAATGAAGATCGGAGTTTTATGTTATCATTTTGAAGTTAAGTATGTCTGAGAGAATTCGAATTTGAGAACCTACAGCAGAATATGTAAATAAATACATATCGACACCTGAGTGGAAGATCGACCTATCTCGGCAGCCAGTTCGAAAACGCCATACCTCAGAAAACGTTTAAATAAGTAAAGCAAATAAATAAACAATAATAAAAATAAAAAATAAAACTTTTTTTCTTAGTGAAATTTTGTGTCTAAATGAAGTTAGTTACAAGTTAGTTGACACCTAATGCAGAGGTAACCACCCTTGACTATAACAGTTAGCTTTCCTCAAAGAAGCTATACAGATAATACTTAGGCACTCCGCACATTACGCGCCTAATCATAGTAGAGTCATCGTTTTGTCATGTCAAAACGAATGCATGACGACTCGACTTCTGCACACTTGGGCGCCCTGCGTAAACCCTGCTTGCGCGCACATTACACATTTTCTGGCCGGTCTTTCTCACTAATACACTTCCGCGAACATTTCTGCAATAAAATATTGCATACACGTTTATGGCTTAATACTATTGGCACGAGTTTTAGCCCAAAATCATTAATTTTCAATTATTATCTACTGAGATGACAAATGATTTTTATTTCGAGCACAAAAAAGTAAACAAATGCCGTTTATCAAAACGGCAAGCGCCTTACAATGTTGGGCGCTTCGATTCATGAAGTTTTAATGATTAGGCGAAAACATGATTATGAATCGTAATATACAGAGCTTCATTGAAATACATGTGTTCGGTATAAAAGCTTCATACTTTAGTACGCCGGAACGATTACACTACTATGACTAGGCGTTTAATGTGCGGATTGCCTTAGTCTTCTTTAGTTCCTTCCTAATCAACTTCAAGTTAACTTGTCGTTAGATACATTTCCTGCAGGTTGTGTATGTACATACTGCAAATGTTACGCACATACATACATACATAAATATTTCAAAGTTTACAATCAGACATACATGCATACATACATACATATATAAATATGTACATAAATCGAAAACATATGCCGATTTGAGGCTTTGGTGATGATTGCGATTGAAAAGCTACAAAATACCGGTTTTCATTAATATTTAAAGTTTTATTTAATTTTTGTTTTAACTTTTGTTTTGCTGCAGTGTTTTCGGTGCTGATATTGTGCTTAAACGTATGTTTATTAAGGCGAGTTTTTAGTAGCGCAAAACATTTGCTGTCGTACACAACTTCAAGCCTCCAAGCAAGACTTACAAAAAAATTGTATTTAAGACTGCAAAAAGAATATTTCAACAGTGCAAATTTTTGTTTAATATTGTTGCGTTTGAATATAAGTGGTCGTAAAAATGAAATTGTTTATTGGACTGGTGAGACAGCAAATACGCATTGAAAAAGTGCAATTAACGCATTGACCAACTGTAAATTTAAGTCTGCAAACTAATTTGCATTTCACATTCATTTCGTTTCGCAAAAGGTCGTAGCTGTATTCTTCATTTGCGCATGCGCCGATGTCTCGCACATTCTGCACCATAGCGTACACGAAACAACCCCGCAGCCGGGGCCACCGAATCCATACGTCTTCAGCTACCAAGCTGGACGTGCGCCGGGGCATGTCGATCGCCAGCACACCGAAGTATCTGACGGCACTGGCGTTGTACGCGGTGCCTTCTCCTATGTCGATCCCAAAAACCAGCTGCGCACTGTGCAATATGTAGCCGACAAGCATGGTTTCCATCCGCAACTCAGCCACGAACAGGAGGATACCGAGGCCGTGAAACAGGCAAAGCGGAAACATTTTGCGTTGTACAATCGCATTGCGCAAGAACATGCCGCTGACGGCGGTCACGGCGGACATGTAAGTACTGCGCGTCTAACTTGGCAATTAATTAATTCGTGCCTATCTAACATGTTTTGATGCAATACAAAAAAATCAACTTCTAATTTCCAATAAAATATCGTTATTTTCATCATAGGAAGCTTACGCTGCCGGACCGAGGAATACTGAAGCTGTTGCCTATGCCACACACAAACATCTTAGTGAATATGAACGCATCGCTGCTGAGCATGCACGCATGCGCGCCGAACTTGAGGCCCAACGATTGAACAGTCCTCAGGACGATGGCCAGTACCACGGCGAGGAAGAGCAACTGCAACATTACTAATTTTCGGCGTATCATTTTAATTTTCCACTAAAACTCAAAACTTCTTAAGTTCCCCCGTAGGTAATTTTTTAGCAGGTTTTATTTTTGTTATCTTGTTACACAATAGTTGCGTTGTGAATATGCAGAGTATGGCTGGAATTTCATTTGCATATCAATAAATGTTTATTTTCTCGCAGCAACAACATTTAATGAATTAGTAAGCAGTAGAATAAGCTGAGTCTTGAAATATATATTATTAGTCAGTTATTTATGTTAGCACTAGCTGTACCCTGCCACGCTTTGCTGTGGCATATACCTGTTATACGGATGATAAATTATTAACGAAACAAAGCATACGTTTCATATGTGTTTGGTTATGTAATAAGTACTTGTGTGCACGCAATATTTGCTGTTTTTCCATTCTCTGCATAGATATTAAGAATATCTGGTTTGCTAACACAGGAACACGCAACATCTGAGAAGCAATCCGCATGTAAATCTAAACCATACTTTTCCAAAGTTCGACCTGGAGCATTATTGATTGTGATTCCGAATGTCAATCAAATTGGGAATTGCAATCTTTTAAATTGAAATGGTGTATCGGTCGGAATCATGGGAATTCTTCACCTTTGAAAGGCCACGTTCAAAAATTCCGTTGGATGGTCTTTTTACACAACGGTGTTTATCGACGTATATGCTATTTCCTCACGTTGAATGCTGGATTGAATAACATTAGTGGTATTCACCAAAGTGAGCAAGTGACCTGGCAGTCTGGTAAAAGAGCAGATAAGCTCATGTAACGACTGTTGTCAATACCACTATTATTTAGTTGATAGACATCCTTATTATTAGCAGCAAGAATAGCCCGTTCACTGAGCCAATCGTGATTCCTATAATTAACTTTCTTAATAAACAAACATTCTTTCGATCAATTATCCTTTCGATGCTTCTAAGTTACAAAAATTATCAGGCCATAAAATTCGTCTTAATTTCTCATTGACTGGCAGCTTTCCGTTCCCAATGTCCAGTAATTGTCGCGAGAATACTTCGGCTGCAGTGTATGTTCGTCTTGTCGCAATGTTGACTATTTCAGGCAAGCATTTATCTCGTCCGCTAGTGTTAATCGAGAAACTACAGGTAATGTTTGCGTAAAATCTCCTGCGAGCAATATCAATGCATTCCCGAATGGTTGAACGTTTCCACGCGAATCTCGCAACAATCGATCAATGCCCTCAGGACGTTTTTTGTGTGCCATGGTGCACTCATCCCAAACCATGAATTTAAATTTTTGTAATTCTTTTTCCAAACCGGGAGGGACACGATATCGAACCAAAAGTATCGATATAGTACTCATTTTAAATATCGCTGTAAAAATATCGCGTACCCATTAATATCGTGATAAAAAGACTAGATATTCCAAATATCGATACCAAATTCAAAAAATTAAATCTGAATATTGGTCTCATTTTCCAATAAAGAATGAACAATTTTGTACTTTAATAAGTGGTTGCTTATATAGAGGTAAGTGTGTTACTTGACATCACCGAAGGCATGGGTTAAAATCCCGCCACATGCCAAATTAAATAAGATAGTACACATTTGTGCTCTTTAAATATATCCATATTGCTTTAAATATAAGTTCCAAAGTATAGACATATTTATGGGCGTTCCCAGGGGAAGGTCATGGCACGACATAGACTTGCATAAAATGGAATAACTAGGTAGCGCTGAAGTCAAAATAAAAAATATATTCGACATGAAATTCATCTTTTATTTGCGTTAAAATTTAATTTAGTAACAATATTAACTTTAAAATTAACCACTGGTTCCTCCGACAATCTGCTTGGTGCGCCAGGATATTCCGTAACGTGGATTCAATCAACTGCAATACTTAGGAATGAAACGATACCATGCAGGTATCGATACTTTTTTTTTGGAAGTAGTATTGAAAGAATATATCGATACCAGAAAAATATCGGATCTAAGATATCGATACCTACTCATATAGATACTTTTGGCTATGAAGATAGCTTAAATTTCGTGTTTTTATGTCTTAAATTAATTATTTCTGGGAATCCCAAAATCCAAACTACATGTTTAAAGATGAACAATATTTAACACGGACAATTAATTGGAAAATATTAAAAAAAAAAAAAGTTTTCATAAAATATTTCTGAGAAAAAGTCTTCTTTTGTTGTAGGTACTTCCCAGGAATAGAAGTTTTTCCAAAGATTTCAGTGCGGTGGAAATGTACTATGTACAAAAATTATGAGCCAAATATTTAACTACTATAGCTTCAAAAATGTTTCCATACTACTACACCTGGTAGAATTCCACATACAATAGGAACAAAATGATATAGATTAAATTTTACTAAAACAAATTCCTAAGGGCATTTAAAATATGAAAGATTTTCTAATATCTAGATACCGCGAACTAGAATAATTTTTGTATTTGACATCTACTTTTCTCCAGACTAGATGCGAAGATGGCATTCAAATTTTCTGGAATATTTTAGGTTTTCCACGATTTTCTTTTCATGAACTCCCATTGCCTTTATTGTATGTATTTCCTTGCATTTTGCTCAAGGTCTTCACATGCTAATGCGCCTTAAACCCGAAGTATTACTCAGTGAGCTTAATATCGCATTGAAACGTCTGTACTGAACATTTATCCTCTACCACTCGAACAGTTGGGCCGTGTACATATACGTCGCATTACATCGACTTTGGTGAAGCAATTGGAACGTGTATTCTCTGCTTCATATTCGGAATAACAGTTAAGGAAAACTTGCGAAGCTATTATTATATTTCAAACCTCCCTCATCTGTCAGAGGTAGTCTCGATTGCCTCTTGGCCGGCCGGTTCTAAACTACGCAGGGCCTGCGTGGTCGCCGGGAACTAGTAGGTCGCAGAGGAGTAAGCTACATACCTGCCAAAACACGGCACTCCGGACAACGACCAGATACCCCTGATGTCGCCACAACACCACCTACATGATGAGGCTGAAATGCAGGGAGCATAACGCAATGCTCTGCAAGAAATTCCTAGTAGGGTGCCACCATTTTGTGAATCCGAACAGACACCTGTTTGGGGCGGAGCTCTCGCCGGACGAAGTCCAAAGGGAGTCAGTATTGACCTACACTGACTTTCGACCTGTGAATGCCGTTTTGGGAACACAACCACCCGACGTGGACGAGACAGAGCTTCGTCTGCCTCGGGAGACTAGAACCAGAAGAGTCCAACTTCGCTCTACTTACTGCGGCAGGTTTAACCCGTATATTAGGTGTAGATGTGCCAAACGAGTGCCCGGCATGTGGAGAGACACCCCACGAATCGAAGCATCTCTTCCCATTATCCCTTAACCTCACTTAGCTAACACCCTTTTCCCTATGGACAAACCAAATCGAAGCTGCACGTGTTCTGAATATATACTACCTATATTTCATTTTAATATTGTTATTGAGATTACAAGGAATTTCATATTGTAATTGGAATAAAGTACGTGCTAGTAATGTAATATTTTCCCCCCAATTCCTTTGAAAGGAATTGAAAATGTCATATAGTTTCTTCCAATTCCATTACCGGCAATTGCAAGAGTTCTTTAGGTTTTTCAATTACTCAAAGGAATTGTTCAGTCACGAATGTAAAATGTAAAATTTTAACTCAAGTAAATTGATAAAATCAGGGAAATATTGCAATGCGGGTGTCAAACTAGAGAGTTTTAAGAAGGCTTACAGTCGAAGAGGGTTGCCACCTGTTTGCAAGTTTATCTCAATTAAATTGACAAAATAAATAAAATATTACAGTATGGGTACAAAATACATACATATTAGTACTAGCCAATGCCCGCTTGCTTCGCGGCGCCTAATAAGATCTTTTGCGTTGGCCAATACAAAAATAGCGTTTAAAAGCAAAAGCGGTCTGTAAAGTAAACATTTTTAGTTTAAATTCAAACGAATAAAGAGCAGAATCCTCCTCACACATAGGCCAAGAATAGTAGCGCTGTGATACCATATGCAATACTAATCCCTTTCGATGTCATGAGTTTTACCGATGGTCTTATTTCCGCCTGTGATATCTCTGCCAAGCGTGCGTAATATTCTTCAGCAGCCCTGAGCCCTGAGCAGTTTTGTCAATCGGACTTAGGTGCAAGATCGCATTTGAGGTGTATGAGGTCTTCAGGCAAAGGTGCGTTTACACAATGTTGCGGTCTTTACATGCATACTTAAACGAATCCTCCATTTAGCCATATGAAAAGTAAATTCATCTAAGATGAATATAGGGCCAAAGCAGACCAAACCCCGTGTGGGTTTCTATATATTCGGCTATCTGTCATGAAATGAATACGCATTATGAATTTCAATCAGATTTTATAAAATATAGCTGGTCATTTCTAGGAAACGATTTTTTCATTATGCAGGTAGCTTACTTTGTGAATTTGAACGAAATCGGTTAATAAATATGACTTCTATAAGTAACTCTACTCCAGCGCTACCACCGTGTTGTCTAGTAGGCTATAATAGGACCATACATGCAAGGTTTAACCTCCAAGAATTTGACGTGTTTTTGAGTTTAGTCCGAAATACGAAAACGGCTATAATTTTATGTTTTGTATGTACATATATGTTTCCAATGAAAAAAATAAAAAATAAATTGTCATGGAATTAATAAAGGTTTCGAATTTGCATTAACAAGATCGGTTCATAAATAGGGCTTTTATCGGGACCGTTTTCGCAAACGCTTTTTTCATCATGCAGATAGCTTTTTCTTTACTTTTATAAATAACTCGACTTCCGCGCCAGCTAGCGGTTCAATTTTTGGTAAACGTATTTTCCATCATGCTGATAGAGACATTTTGAATTTAAAAGAAATTGGTTTGTAAATATGAGTTTTATAAATAACTCGACTCCAGTGTCACCTAGCGGCTGTATTTTGCGCATACGTATTTCTCATCATGGAATTTGAATGAAATCGGTTCATAATTACGACTTTTATAAATAACTCGACCCCAGCTCCACCTAGCGAATTTTCTAGTAGCCTATAATAGGACCATATATGCAAGGTATAACCTCTGAAAATTTGACTGAAATCTATGCAGTAGGAGTACGCCATTTCGAGTAACATTTTCCATGTTAAGTATTCATGTTTTACGTTTTATATCCCAGCGCACTTGTGCACAAGGGTATTATAACTTCTTT